AAAAAGAGTTACAGTCTCAGAAACTCACGGGGCAGTTGGACCAGGCCCTATAGGGTCACCATGAGTCGGCATCGACTAGATGGCAGTGAGTTTGGTTTTATGGGTTTTAACCCTGGCCAGACTCTGAATTAAATTCTGGGGTTACAAAATAAAGAAAATGCAGCCTCCTCCCTGAAGGAATTCCCTGTTTTGTGAGGGAGCAAGAGAGGTCAACTGGGTGCCTGGTACAAAGATAACAGACCCCAGAGGTGCCTCAGTGTGAGGCACGCGCCCTGCAGGGATCACCCTCCAGCCCTGCCCTGCCCCCCAGCTACCAGGCCCTCCTTCCCGTCCCCACTCCTTTCTGGGAGCCCCGTCCCGGCCAGTAGGGAAAAGAAGACTGTCCTTTGGGTTCTCTCCGAGCAGGGCCTGTTTCCAGTCTAGACACACGCCTCCTTTGCCGGGAGCTGACCGACTGACTAGAGCTGGTGACTAACCCTTCTCGCTTCCAGAAAATACTGGGTGACTTCGCTTAGCTAAACAGAACTCCTGCCAGGCGGTGACTAGCTTCCCCTGCCGCCTGACCAACACTCCCTCCCGTGCGCCCACACTTCGGGCCACATTTACTCAGCTTTATCGAGTGCCTCCCATGTGGACGGGATCTTGCCTTAGAAGTAAGCAAACTGTTCTAGTGTTACCTAATGCAGCATAATGAACGAGCCACTCCAAAGCTGAGCAGTTTCAAGCCACAGCAGCAACAGCATTTGTTTGGCCCATGAAGGTGCGGGGTGAGCGTCCCTCCAGGGCGGCTCCAGGGCTGAGGCTGGCTTCACGCATGCATCAGCTGCGTGCCCAGCCTGTGAAGGCCCCGGAGCCAGCCGAGGATGAGAACAAGCCAGAGCTCCTGGCCCACGAGCTGGTAGACAGAATGCTCTGACAATCTTCCCATCGAAAGGTGGGCTCTAATTTCCTAGAGAGACCTCACCTCTATCTACTCTCACCTTGTGGTCTCTCCAGCCTGGTGGCTTCAAGGTAGCCGGACTAATCTGTCTGCTTGAGTCTCTCGGGCACATGTGCCAAGCAAGAGAAAAGAAGGTACACACTGTGCCTACTGCTCTGTTAGAGCTTGAAGTCAGGCAGCACCATGTCTGCCACCTTCGAGGCTTTGCTGGGCTTCATCCAACCCAGGCTGTGTTCAAACTCACTGCCATCGAGGCAGCGCTGACTCACAGCGCCACCCCCTGTGGGTTTCTGAGACTGTAACTGTTCCCAGGAATAGATAGCCCAGTGTACCTTCTGAAGAGCTGCTGGTGGTTTCGAAATGTTGACCATGAGGATGGCAGCCCGGTGCGTGACGGCTCACTACACCGCCAACCCTCCTTCTTCAAGGGGAGGGCAGTTCGACTCCACCACTGAATGGAAGCCAGTCCCAGATTTTGTGAACATCTTTTTGTATCACCACACAAAGCCAGGGCTTTGTGATAGAGAAGGGTCTAGAGCCTCCGTGTCCAGGACCAGGTGATAATGGTATACCACGTCTTCTGGCTCCAAGACCCAGGCCTCGATGACACTTATCCCATAGATGGAGGGGCCAGACTCCCTGGGAGCATTGGTGAAATCTATCAATCATGTTTTCCAGCAAAAACTTGCACATGCATAAGGAAGTTGTGTTTTCAACTCTATAGGTAGCGTGATGTTGGGCGTTGCAGAAGGATATAACCCCAGAGTCAAGGCTGGGCTAACCAAAACTGCCCTCAGCCTGCCCTCAACACAGCCACTGTCCTACCAAGACAGCCAGTACGTAGGCAGGAGCCGGTTCCTGTTCCCACGCCCACCTGGCAGCTGGGAGGCCTCGCCCAGGCCCAGCCATACGGTCTGGGGCAGTTTGTGGTCGGGTCAGTGGTGCTCTGTGGAGTTGGCTGCGGGAGTGTCCACGCGGTGCTGTGTCCGCCACAACCCCTGCCCCGTCGCACTCACCACATGAGGAAGAAGGAGGCCACCCCTTCCCGCTCCTGCCATGGGCACACCAGGGCCTGGGAGGAGAGAACTGGAATCCGGACTCCCCTCAGGGCAGCCAGCAGCCACCGCACTCCAGGGGAAGCCAGCAGGGACAGGCCTCTTGGCGAAGGGTCTGAGCTCCACAGTTGGCACAGCCAAGGGCATGGTGAGACCAGCCCTGCCCTCTGGCCCCTCACACCGGAGGGAGGTACACGTGAGTCAGAAACTCCAGAGAAAGAGTGTCTGAGAAAGTCCTTTGGGTGAGGAGAGTCACCGAGCAGTAGAAGAAATAGGAAGCGAGGGCACAGTCCGAAGTCCTGACCGTGTGACCTTGAACAAGTTACCCTTCCTGGGCCACATTCCCACAGGGCTAGCATACACACGTTCAGAACGGCGAGGGACAGGAACGTTCATGAATATCTTCCCGTATCTTACCTGACAAAAGCCAAGCCACACAGGTTGGCATCGGAACGTACTCCTCGGTGACACGTATTCATCAGTGACACGGCACTTCTTTGCTGAACCTTGTCAGGGTTCCCAATACTTCAAGAGCAGCTCCTCAAGTGGCGATGCTATTTACAATGTAACCCCGATAAGTTCAATGCATGTTTACATGTAATCTTCATGAGGAACATGGAACAGGAAGTTGGGCAAAAAACAGGTAAATCTACCATGCAGATATCTGCTGCTATGGAGTTGATTCTGACTCAGGGCAACTCTATGACACAGTGGAAGTACCCGCACTGAAACTTTATGGCTGGTGGGTTCCAATCACCCCTCTTTTGGTTAGCAGCCAAGCGCTGGACATCTTCGCCCCCAGGCCCCCTTCTCTCTGGACACAGGCAAGGCAAAGGACCTCAAGAACATGCTCCAGTACCCGAAGGTTCTTCATTACCTGCGCTTCCAATAAAAGTCATTGTATCGCATGTAATTCATGACCTGCGCTTCCAATAAAAGTCATTGTATCGCATGTAATTCAATTTTTAGAAATGGCTGTATTTAACAACCAACTCACAAAATACCTGAGAAGGTATCAACTGGCTCTGGTGAGCTTGTGCAGGTTAGCTTCAGGGTACCACCGATTAAACCCAGAACTACCTACCATCAAAAGCCCAGTGTCCTAACGCCATCTCCATCCACCCTGCCAAACACACCCGAGGTCCACGGGTACTAACAAGCAGCTTTTTAAAATCGATCTGACCTCAAAGCCAAGTTTGTAAGTACTCTCACTTGTCTCCGCTGTTTTTCTTTGGCTCTGGAAAGGTGACCCTGTTAGCCCCTGGGTGGCCTGATAGGAAAAGAGGAAGAGAAGCAGAGAGGGAAACTTGTAATGTCTTGTTGGGCCTCAGTCCAATGGACAGTCATCCACCTCAGGCACCTCCAAGCATCATTTCCCCCCCACGGTGGAATGGCAGTTCTGCCCCGGGTCATACAAAATCTGGGCTGAGTCTGGACCGGACCCGGGTCTTCCCAATCACCCGCAGGTCTGCGCATGCCCACAAGGGCAGACAGACCTGAACGTGAAGGGGTTTAGAGGTCCAGGAAGCATCTCCCATGTAGCCTACCACACGTCCAGAGGAGTACACAACGTCATATGTGAGGCCACGCGCTGGGAGGCTGCAAGTTTGAACCCCCCCCACCCCCACCCCTGAGCCTCTTCAGAAGAGCCCGGTGACCCTCTTCTGAAACATCAGCCTTGAAACCCTGTGAGCGCGATTCCAGTCTGGCACAACGGTGTCACCACGAGTCGGAATGGACTCCACTCAGCATGTACCCGGGCCACGGAGGAACATCTTGTGAGGGCTGTCGTTGTAAGGCTGAGAATGGCAGCCGACCAGCTGACCATGCCTGCTCACACGCTGCGCTGTCCGACAGGGTAGCTGCTAGCCCTCATGACATGGTGGTTACACATGGGGCTGCGAACGGCAAGATCAGCAGTTCGAAGCCACCAGTCGCTCCTCGGGAGAGAGCTGGAGCACACAGTTAGTCTTGGAAACCCACAGGGGCAGTTACGCCCTGTCCTAGAGTTGGCCTGGATTCGACGGCAGTGAGTGGAGAGCCTGGTTTGGCGATTTTCATTCAAATTGATTAAAATTAAGTAAATTTCAAAAATAAGTCCCTCACTCCACGATAGCCACATGGCAAGGGCTCGGTAGGCCTCCTGGTTACAGCCTACCATATAGGATATCGCAGCTAAAGAGCTTCTCCATCGTTGCAGAGAATTCTACTGGACCGCGCTGGCCCACGAAGGAAGTCAGCGACGTTAAAAACCAAGCTGCAGCCAGTGAGATCACACCAAAGTCAAGGGAGTGGTTGGTGGGGGTGGGGTGGGGGGCGGAGAAAGCCTTGAAGGACAAGGAACAGGAGCCCCACCCCAGCCCGGGGCTCAGGTCTGAGCACGTTCTCTTGTTTTCCTTCGGGCCGCCTGACCCGCGGTCTCTCTGTGGTCTCCACCACCCAGAGGCGGAGACTGGGCTTGTGGAGGCCTGCCGAGTTGCTGACCAGGAGCCAGCAGTCGTGGGAACAGCAGAGCCTCCTCCAGGCCACCCGGTGACTGCAGCCCAGCCGGGGTGGGGCCGGAAGGAGCAGCCGCCCACCTGCCCGCACCCCAAAGCTTTGGCGGAAGCCTAATGCTCAGCAAAGGAGTACCTGGAAGGAGCTGGGGGGTTTGTGG